AGGAGGAGAGAGTAGACACACAGCGAGAGATATAAGAAACACATAGAGAGAGAGAGAGACACAGAAGAGAGAAGAGGACACATATAGATAATATATTATATATAGAGATAGATTATACACACCGATAATATATGATAACACATTATATATATATATATATATATACTATGATTGATGTTTTTTTAAAATGTTATTGGTAGAGTTGTCAAAATGGATCATAACCCGCGAGCCAACCCACACCACGGGTTTGAGCCGGGTTGGGTTTGAAAAAATTGTATTTCTTTTATGCAGGTCAGATTTCAACCCGACTCATTTAAACTCGGCTCATGCGGGTTGAACCCGTGGTGGACCGGATTGGCCCACCAATCCACCTACCTAATTTTATTTTATTAGAACTTAATTTTAATTTTATAAAAAAATATTTATTATTTTATTTTTGCTTGAAAAAATTATTTAAGTTCCTTAATTTCAAAATTAATTAAACACCTATGTTGAGAGTGAAATTTGGGAGTGGAATTTGTTTAGATTTAAATTATAGAAAGTTTGTAATTTTTTTTATTTAAAAAAGTTGTAGTTAAGTGAGTCAGTCAGCCAACCCGTTTACCCACCAATCCGTGGTGAGTCGGACCGGGTTCAAATTTTTCTAACTCACTAATAAATGAGTCGGGTTGGGTTGACTCACTAAGTGACCAACCCATGGTAAGCCGGGCTGGGTTGGACCGGGTTGGACCGGGTTGGACCGGGTGACCCATTTTATTTCTAATTAAAATTATTTATATAATACTTGAAGTTAGAGATTCCTTTATAGTAAAACCATAAACTTCGTTGAGATGGTTAATAGATTCAAGCCTTTAATTCCTTTTAATTTATTACTCTCCCTACTACCGATAGAATGATTAGTATGGATGGAATTGAGTAAACAAAACTTGTGAAGGCTTACACATTTAAGTCAAAAAATAGTTAGAGAACAAGGCAACTCAGTATGTAAAGTTAGACAATAAGAAAAGAAATGAACATTTTTTAACTAGGAGATTGAGTGTAACTATAGAAGTAAACATGTTTTGTTTAATTCTGTTACTTGGTATATTTTATATGATGCGTATGGATTGAAACAACTCAAATACTTTTATATTAATATATCTTTCTTATGATAAAAAAAAAAATCTCATTATGTGAATATAGGATTTGACCACAGTGGATTATTCCTTTATATATATAGATTTATTTCTTTGTTTTACGTTTGATTAATGCCTTTATTTTTATTTTTTTATTTTTTTATTTTAAAATATGGGACCTAACTATGCAGGATCGACCTAATGGTGAAAGAAATCTAAAGGAATTTTTTTTTTCATTATTTTATTGTTGACTAAAGGTTAAGCATGTAATCTTGGACATCCCTAGCTATGCCTATTTAAACAAGGGTGCCTTAACCATTAAATTGTTTTATGAAATTCAAATTCTGAGGCGGACATCAAGCCTCCTTTTTTGTTTTACCTTTTAACTCGTTTACAGCACATCTTTTTAATACAGTTTCTTACAATTTTTAACAATGAAACAAGGGCAAAAGCTGTTTGTTAAAAAAGGTTTTAACTTTACTCGAATAAGTATACGAGACATTAACATTTATTAATGGCATGTAAAGAAGTGTTTTCTTTATTATGAGATTCCCTTAAGCTTATAAAGAAAAGCACAAAAATAACTTTGAAAATGACTCTATTCTCTTTGTTTTTCATAATTGCAATTTTAGAAAAAAAAAATGTAAAATTAAATTAGTGAAATATTTTTATTCTTTTATTTTAAAACTTGTTTTTCTTTTAAATTAGAAACAAAGAAGACGAAAATGTATGAAGATAAAAAAGGTATGTTTCAGACCATCAAAAAAGACGTACAGGTTATAAAGAAGATTTAAAAAAATAAAATAAAAATATACATTTTTATATTAGTTTATCTCTGTCTTTTATGTTACTGTTTTAAGTGAGCTTTAATTTATCTCCTTAATCTCATGTGTTCTTTCTCTAGAAGTTTTTCTAAGTTTCATCTATTTTTTTAAGTAAATGTTTTTAATATGCATACACCTCTGTAACACAATTATAAACGGTAACATTACGTGCATATTAAATTAATTAAAAGAAAAAAAAATACAAACATCATACAAGTAATTAAGAATAAGGTTAATTGAAGTATATAATGTGCTACAAATATGGGTAGTCCTAGTTCATTAAATACGCAAAAACTTTAAACAACACGGAGCACAGGATAACTATTATTCATTCTATTTTGATCAAGATGTCTTGTATTTGTAATTATACTTCAAAGTATATGTTAACTAATTTCAGGATTGGTTCATCATGAGTTTGACCTAAAAATAATCAAGTTAATCTGGTTTACCTTTTACGAGTCAAATATTTTATAATTCGGTTCAATCCACTAAATTCACTTAAAAAATGTTTTATTTTTTCAATTATACAATGCATGTGTTTAGACCCGCACGGCAGCAAACGGTCGGGTTAATTGGTCAGATTCTTATAAATTATTCGATCACGACAACAATTGGATAGAGTTAAAACCCAATCAATACGGTAACAGTTATTGATGACTGCTTAAGACAGATATTAATGACTATAAAGAGGTAAATTAATTGGTCAGATTCTTATGGGTTTAATTTCGAGGTAAACTCACTTTTTGCTCACTATTGAATTACTAAAGGCCTACAGAGAAAATTCCCTACACCGATCGGTTACCAAAGCAAGGAGTGGAGAGACGTTCAGCACCTAAGACTTTCAGACAAGTAATTATCCTCGTCCCATTTCAGTAGGAACATTTTGGCGCCCACCGTGGGGCCAAGGATATTTGAAGACACCCTAGCAAGACCATAAGAATGGCAGCAAAAGACCTATTGGTACTAATGCAGGAGATGCAAAGGAGGATGGAAGCCATGCAGGCGGAGATGGTGACGTTGAGGGCCGAGCGTGACACAACACTGAGGGACCGATGCGGGGCAAAGGGACCACGACGCGAGGTAGAGGGCCCCGTCGAATCAGTAGTCGACAGCACCCACTCGGACTCTCATAGTGGAATTTCCTGAAACTGATCATGAGAGTTCTGATCAGGAGGAGAACAGTTCTAGGAGCCCCCATGTATGCCTGGTCAACGCCGTTTGGGCAAGGGCGCTTCACCCTTTTACAACTACAATCATGGAGGAGCAAATGTTGGATAGAATGCTCCTAGCTCTTGAAAAGTATGATGGATCGGTCGATCCGAAGGAGCATTTGAGGTCTTTTACCGATGCAATGGCGATATACTCGCCTAACGAGCTAGTGTGGTGCAAGGTTTTTTCTCTGTCCATCAAAGGAGAAGCTTTATCATGGTTCCATTCTCTACGTCCCAGAACTATAGACAGTTTTGGTACACTACGAAATCTGTTTGAGCAACCGTTTGCTTCTAATCGGGCGAAAAACATGACTTATGAGGAACTAACTAAAATCAAGCAGAGAAAAGATGAAGGCCCGAGAGACTTTATGGACCGATATAATCGAACTGCTCGGCAGGTGAAAGACGTTGGCAAAAAGTTCATCATGAGCACTTTGGCTAGAGCTTTAAGACCTTGTTCCTTTACGGACAGCCTGTTCGCACAACCACCCTTAACCTTGGGAGAAATGTAGGAGAGGGCCGTCGAGTTCATCCGGATTGAGGAGATGCGTGCAGTCCAGAAAATGCAGCATGAGGGAAAGGCCTCATCCTTAAGTCAAGAGCGAAAGGAGGACAAAAGGGTGTTCGTGTCGAATGAACGGTGTGAGGGTGATTGATGGTCAGTTCAAGGCGGGGTTAGAACACCCGACGGGCAAAGCCATACCAAACACTTGAAAGCCATCGAACCTTAAGTTTTATTTTAGATAAGTATATAATGTAACGTGCGATTAAGCTATCAATAATATATATATATATGCTTTTGAAAAAAAAATCTATTATTTTCATATAATTAATAATGTTAATTGTATTATCATTTTCCAATCGTATAAGATATATAATTTTGCAAATTGACTTTATCCATCAAGATCCAACAAATTATATGTTTTAAACATTTTTCAAGATTTAAGCATTTTTCAAGTGTCTAAAATATTTGTTCCATGGGAAATCTATATAAATGATTTGAATATATAGGATGATTTTCTACTAATAAATCTCTCAAATTTGTATCTATATTTTCATGAGAATTGAATAGAAAAATAATAGAAATAACTAACCATTCTCTTTCTCCTATATAAAATTGATTTATTGAAAAAAATTGTTAGCTCATTAAATATTATTTAGTATCAATAAAAATTAAAAATCACTCATAATATTGTAATTAATTTTATTCTAAATATAATTTCACAATTAATCCAAGAGATTATTTTAAAATAATTATTTTATAGGTCATAGTTTGGTAACATATATACGTGTAATCGTGTCCAACAATACACAGCAACGTGCACTCATATTGTCCACAAGTTCAAATTAATTATTTACAGCATTTCTGTACTTGGTTCCAAATTATGGACAGCATTAGTAGAAGAAATCAGTTAAATAAAATAAGATATAAAAGGAAAGGGAAGATGACATTGAGTGAATTGATACTAAGGTACAATAAGATATAAAAGGAAATGTAGAAAAAGAAGGGGACCACTCTCTATAATTGCTACAAGTTTTCAGTCATTTTCTTCAAGGATCTCGGGAAGTTGAATTGCCCCACGAACACTTAGAAATCTAAGGTTAAACCATCTCAAAAGATATAAACCTAACTCACAGCAACAAACGGAATTTCCTGCCACTGTGTCCCCTTATAAACTCAGCTGCCATATGTCATCAGTTAAATACCCACATGGTGCGCATACACATAGACATGCACGTTTATAATCATGACATGTATCTGCAACAATACATATGCAATTTAGCTTGCTAGTTACATTATATATATTTGGTACTGATCAACTGAGAGCAACGTGTCTGTGTTTGACACGACTAAACTACACAGATGGGTGACAACATCAACATTGGCAAAGTCTTAGACAGAGAAGGCTTTAAGTACAACTTCACATGTTCAACTTCAACTGCAACTGCAAGTGACACCTCTGCACAAGATGGGGTCATCAAGGAGCAGGATCGGTTGCTTCCAATAGCTAATGTGGGAAGAATCATGAAGCAAACTCTTCCCCCCAATGCCAAGATCTCAAAAGAAGCAAAAGAAACCATGCAGGAATGTGTGTCTGAGTTCATCAGCTTTGTCACTGGTGAAGCTTCTGACAAGTGTCACAAGGAGAAGCGCAAAACCGTCAATGGTGACGATATTTGCTGGGCCTTGGCTACCCTAGGGTTTGATGACTACGCTGAGCCTCTTAGAAGGTACTTGCATAAGTATAGGGAGTTGGAGGGGGAGAGAGCAACCCAAAATAAGAGTAACACTTACGAAAACAACATTGCAAACATATAATTAACTCCACAAGGTGAATGCTTGTTCCTCCAATTCCCATCTCAACGTGATTCATGTAGGTCAAATTGCTACCTGTTCTTCATCTGATCTACTTTTCTCCTCACATTTCAGATATTCAAGGTGCTTCTATCCTTATTTGGTATATATGTATGACGTGAGTCCTATATGCGTAGACGTGTTTAGACCTTATCTTTTTTCTCTTCAGGGTTCAAATTTCTGGGTTTGACACTAATCTTTGTATTTGTATGTCCAGTAATAAGCTTTAATCATTTCCAGAATTCACTAGCAATACGCATGCGTCATATTTACTTGTAAATGCGAATTTCAAGTTCTTAATCTGGACATTGCTGGCTATAACTTTTTTATCCTTGGTTCTTCACATCATCTTTACTTGCAAATTGGGAATTCGAATATCTTTATTTGAACAATTGATAAGGCTGCTTCCAAGAGTTTTCACTCTCCATTAATTTCAGCGATGAAATTAGCATATAAAATGCTCTGCAGTGGTTAAGTTAATCTCTGTAAGAGAATGGAAAAGAAAAGTTTGCAAGCACTCACTTCCCACAGTTTTATAGTGAATTGGAGGCTAGAGAGCATCAGAGAGCCAAAAGGATATAACTAACCATAGTACATGCAGCTAACAGATAAATAATCTCATTAATCAGTATGCAATTGTCGGCTAATCCAGATTCAAGTAAGGATTTCTCCATTTTAGAAAATCACTTCCCTTTACCCTAAGAGATATGGTGGATGCATTCGACGAAAGTATTTCTTGTGCATATGAATATATCACATACGATTGCTATTGATGTTAAAGGTTTTCGTTTTGTGCAGTTTTTGCTTTTGAGCTTTAATTCTTCCTTTCTTGTTTTTGGATTTATAACCCTCAACGTTTAGAACCTAGTTTTCTCATGTTCCAATCATTTTGCTTTTCTCTAACTTGTTCCTGTTTTAAATGTTCAGCTCTTTTAGGGTCTTAAATCATTCCTATTTAGAAGCAACTTTTGACCATAGTAGACTTACTTGAACTTGTTTAAAGGGAAATAAATATTTCCTAATGGTTAGGAATTTAAATATAAATTTAGAGTTTTATATTAATTAGAAATATCGAAGTTTAAGTAATATAAAAGAAGGAAAAGAAATAAGACCCACACACAAGGTAGTGTTATAGTTTTTTATACATACAATTCAAATCCCAAAATTGATGAATTACCTAATGTATCTAGTACTAATGTATCTCCTAGTAAAATTCCAAAATTACACCTCAGTGATCATTCTTTTGGTGATTAGAATTTCTTCATACATGTTGAANATTTCAAGTTCTTAATCTGGACATTGCTGGCTATAACTTTTTTATCCTTGGTTCTTCACATCATCTTTACTTGCAAATTGGGAATTCGAATATCTTTATTTGAACAATTGATAAGGCTGCTTCCAAGAGTTTTCACTCTCCATTAATTTCAGCGATGAAATTAGTACTCATGTAAAATGCCCTGCAGTGGTTAAGTTAATCTCTGTAAGAGAATGGAAAAGAAAAGTTTGCAAGCACTCACTTCCCACAGTTTTATAGTGAATTGGAGGCTAGAGAGCATCAGAGAGCCAAAAGGATATAACTAACCATAGTACATGCAGCTAACAGATAAATAATCTCATTAATCAGTATGCAATTGTCGGCTAATCCAGATTCAAGTAAGGATTTCTCCATTTTAGAAAATCACTTCCCTTTACCCTAAGAGATATGGTGGATGCATTCGACGAAAGTATTTCTTGTGCATATGAATATATCAAATACGATTGCTATTGATGTTAAAGGTTTTCGTTTTGTGCAGTTTTTGCTTTTGAGCTTTAATTCTTCCTTTCTTGTTTTTGGATTTATAACCCTCAACGTTTAGAACCTAGTTTTCTCATGTTCCAATCATTTTGCTTTTCTCTAACTTGTTACTGTTTTAAATGTTCAGCTCTTTTAGGGTCTTAAATCATTCCTATTTAGAAGCAACTTTTGACCATAGTAGACTTACTTGAACTTGTTTAAAGGGAAATAAATATTTCCTAATGGTTAGGAATTTAAATATAAATTTAGAGTTTTATATTAATTAGAAATATCGAAGTTTAAGTAATATAAAAGAAGGAAAAGAAATAAGACCCACACACAAGGTAGTGTTATAGTTTTTTATACATACAATTCAAATCCCAAAATTGATGAATTACCTAATGTATCTAGTACTAATGTATCTCCTAGTAAAATTCCAAAATTACACCTCAGTGATCATTCTTTTGGTGATTAGAATTTCTTCATACATGTTGAATTAATAATATATAGCAAAATTATTTTAAAAAACTCTATTAATTCAACTCTTTATTGCTTCAAATAGTGAAGAATTTTACCTTTTTTTTTAAATTTAAGATTTAATGTAAGATTGAGATTTGAATGTCGAGAAAAGTATTAGTGTTGAGTATTTTCTAGGAGATAAATGGGAGAAATTCACCACAAATGAGGTATGAGTTGTTCAAAAACTTTGATAACACCTTCTATACAAAGTCTCAGCATTGAACTTGTGGATTTTTTTTTATACAAAGTCTCAAGACTTAATGTTTGTGGATTTTTTTTCATTTCTACTCAATGTATGTTGAAGGAAGGAATCTGAAATGGAGAGAAAAAGTAACTTTTAAATTCTTTCATTTTAAAAACAATTGAAAGGTTCTTTTACAAAATATAAACTTTTATTATAATGCAATACAAATATGTTAATGCAAAAAAATGTCTTCAAGTAAAAACAAATATGTATACACATGCACATATGTGTGTGATGGTGTATGAAAACAAATATTTAGAATGACCAGACTTTGTATACAAAAGCGAAATTATATACAAACAATAATACTTTATGTGTAGCTAATGTAATAAGACCAACACTTTCCATTAATTGTGCATGTCCTATGAGTAAACTTTCCTAAACTACTCTAGCACCTTTCTTCTGAAACCTGAGACAATGCAAACATACATTGTTCAGGTATTACTAATTCCTTCTGTCTACTTTTACCATCGTGATTTTCTTTTCGTTTTTTTTTTCCTTCCTCGTCCTCCTCCTCTTCTTCTATTGTCACATTCTCCATCTTCTTTGACTTTGTCATTATCACATAGTCTCCTCTTGCATATTTTTAATTAACTTATAACAAACATTTCATTAAATATAACACTTATTTTATCTACAAATTTTAAAAGAAATTCAATTACAAACAAATTTTAAGAAAATTTAATTATCGACAAATTTAAAAAACGAAGTTTATTACTTATAAATTTAAAAAAATATATATAATTATTAACTAATTTTACCATGGTCAAAACCTAGAGTAAAAACTATAACTTCTATTTTAGCAATGAAAATTAATAAAAATTCTACATTACCAATAAATATTTTTTTAATAATAAAAGAAATTTAATTTATCAACAAATTCGGATGAAATATTTGCCTATAGTTAAAATTTATTAGTAATTTTTTTTGTAACAATTTTTTTCATTAATAAAATTTCATAATAGTAATTTAATAATATCCAGAGTGTGTTTTCGTACCTTTTGTCTGCCCCCATTTCATAGTTATGAAGTCATCCATTACGTTACATTATGCTCCCAGAAATCTAGTCATTCACTGCACTGAGCAATTTTCAAGGGTAAATTTTAACCCTCCTAACAAATCTTGTATCCCTTTTGGAACAATATGGATTGATTACATGTTCTACGACATAGACAGCAGTCCCAATAAGTAATAAGATTTAGGGATTTCGTTAGTTAACCATGCCCAATCTAAGTGGGATAAATATGCAGTAGGTGATAATTTTGTTCCAAGTGCAATTGAGGACCAACTGTAATTAATAACAAGTATTATTCGTTTCTTAAAAAAAGCTATTACAACTATGGAAGCCAACCATTGCTTTTATGAACGAATACCACATCAAGTATATGGAAGCTAGTCAAAGGTGCTCTCGATGGACGAGATTCACCTTGAAATCTCCATAAAAACAAAGCGTCACTTCTTTTAATATTATTTTTAAATTATGGATTAATTAAGACATAAAATGAATTCAATAGTTTAAAGTTTATTTACACTTTGAATTTCTCACATTGTCATTTATGCACATATATTCAAATTTATAATAATGACTTTCAAATTTTATTTATTAAGACAGTTTCTTTTAGTTTAGGTTAATAATATACTAACCATGCATGAAAATTGAATTACATAAAAATTATAATTAAGAAATTAAAGTTATCCAAAAAATAGTATAGCGAATAATGACAATTTACTTAACCTGGCTATGCTAAGCAAATTTTTTTTTATTGTATTTAATTATAAGTTTACATATTATAATAAATTTATTGAGTTTGTATTAATTGTATTAACAATTATTCATCAATAAATATTTGATTAACATTGTAAAGGTAACTTATAAGTTTAGCCATCAAGCTTAAATGATTTTTTCTATTGTTCTTGACTGATTATAAAATTGATCTAGTTGAGAAGTTTGGAGATATCAATCTAAGTTATAGGACATTCAAGTATTTTTTTTTTTCTCTTTTATTTTTCTCATTGTTACTCTTGTTTAAAAGTTTGTTCTGATATAAATATTTTTTTATTGTCAGATTCATTCTATTTATTAGTAGAGATGCTTCTTTAATACTATTAAAATTTAAATATCTTAATGGTCATAATTTGTTCATTAAATGCACCTTATTACCACATGAATTGAATAACATTATTGAGTGGAGATGAATCTGGTGGAGATCAATGGAATGGTAGCCATAGCACCACAAATACATACAAACATTTTTCTTACTTAGATATGTAATTAATTAAAATGGAAAACAAGAGCAAAGACTTTTGTTTGTTTCTATTCCTTGACTTTTGTCGGAATCTTCATGAGTTACTCATGTTGTCCAGTATCCAATATATTTGGCTCAGCAGCAGGATCTGTTCACAGAAAACGCAGTTGAAATTCAAAAACCCGAGCAAAATCAGGGACCACATTTTCTGTCTCTACCTTCCATACCACACATGTTCTGTCGTATTGGATTTGAACTCCTCCGTTTGCTGGGTCTCGATGAACTTGACGTTTAATTTATTGGGTAGAATTTGGATCATTATCTTCTAACAAGTGAAGATCAGTTTGTGTGTCTATATTCATTTTCTTCGTAAAAAGAGAAACCAAACAAGAAATTTTGTCTTATATTGCTTCTTATAGTTGGCATGCGTTAAAAATGTACGAGAGGGAATAAAACAAGTTAAAAACAAAAAGACCAAAGCATATTATATAGCTCATATATAATTTAATTAACCACCGTTGTGGGAAGAAGTTCTCAGATAAGTTGAAGTATATATAAAACAAGTTAAACATTTTTTATAATAAACATAACGTCATCT